GTCAGCAGACCCCAATAACGTGATATTTAGGCCCTGGAATGTGAATTGTACCAGGAGAACCCCGCCAAAAAAATGTTTATTTTACCCCCAGAATGCGATTTTTACTGGGGGACCCCCTCGAAAGCAATTGGCCTATTTTCAAGCTAGTTTTGAGTAGTAATAGGGTGGGTTTTGTAGCAAAAACCTGGCAACCCTGCACCAGACAGAGCTGTCGGCGATTCTTCCTATTGTAAAGTCATGCAGTGTGTAACCTCCTGTTGTCGTTCCATCGTGCAGTGTGAACACAGCAACAACTGAATGCTACCCCAAATAGTCGTTCAGTGTGAAACCAACAGTGATGCGACGTCTTTGAAAATCGTGCAGTGTGAACTCGACATTAGGCTATATGTTCTTTGTACATCGTGCAATGTGAACACAGCAGCAACTGAATGCTACCCCAGATAGTCACGCAGTGTGAAAACAACGGCGATCCGACAAGTTTTTAAAATCATGCAGTGTGAACTCGGCATAAGTTGTGTTTCTCTGCTCTTGTTTCTCTTTCCTTCAGTGATTCTGCTTGTTAACAGTTTTGTTTTGTTTATTGTGTGGAGACGTGCTGATATCGCGTTTGGTCTCGTTCTGTATTGCGTATCTTGTCAGTGTCTGCGCTTGCTTGGCCATTTGTGTCCAGCTGAATTAATTTAGTGTTTTGTTAGACGGGTATAAAAAGTTTATAAAAGCTTAGTTTACCGCGGCAGCGGTCGCGTGAAGGCCTCCTCGTGTGGTTAGGGTTACACAAAGAGTGTAAAGACCATCGACTCTACCGTGCGACTCCACCGGGCAGGACACCAGCAAAGGATAAGTATCTCTTTTTATTTCTCCTCTTTCCTATTACTTGTTTCACTTCTGTTTCAGTTTTTATAACCATTTCTTACTATGTGTAAGTTGTTGTTTTTTAGCATGTAAGTGTTATTTTTTAGGATTACTGATAAACTACTGTAATTTGATTTGTATTTGTTATTTATTTTAATTTTAGTTAAATTATGTCCAATTGATTGCTTCTGTTGTCCTCATTTGTAAGTCACTTTGGATAAAAGCGTCTGATAAATGACTAAATAAATAAATAACAGTTGTTCATCACTAATGCTCAATCCTCATTTAATTATCTCATTAACTTCATCACCGCTTCAGTGTCACTTCAACACTCTGTAGTGTGGACACATATAAGTGCTCTTTAAAACTGAGGATTTTGCTGTGGGATTAAAGGGGTTAAATGTGTGAGATGAAGAAAACACACTGTGAAATGTATTTTTAACAGAAATAAACTGTTAATTTCATTTACGGAAGCAAACTGTAGATTACTAGCAACCACAGCTGCCGGTATTTCATCGTAAGCAGTAATTGTGTAGTTACTGATGCAGTGTGAATCTCTTCAATAATTTCAATCATGCATGAATGTGTGCTGCTGTTATCTGAGATTTGAGTTGAATTGATGCTTTTAATGATTTTGTGAAAATCAGTAGGTTTTTCTTCATGGACTTAAGCAAAATAGTTCTCAATACCAATATGCTCGTGTTACTTAAACATTATAAATATTACTTTATAAACAAAAGCCAATTGGCCAATTTAAGTGCAGTCGGTTTCTGCAAATAAAATGAGTTAACTCAAAGGTTTGCATATTAACGTTGTATCAGTTAATGAAATACAGTTTTTCACTGTAAATTTAAACAGTTCTGTAAAACCTAAAATGTTGCTACCGTATTTTTCACGGTAAAGTTCTGGTAACCATAGCTGCCGGTATTTTACCGTAAATTTAACAGATTTTTTTTTACAGTGTAGATCATGGTGCTAGTCACAGCAGTACGTAGGCTTATTACAAGTAACACTACTTTTAATTACTTATTACTTATTATTTATTACCTATTGGGGATACAGGCTACATCTGTGGGTGTGGCCTATATTTTGTTAATGCAAATCTTGATACAAAGAGACATTTTGTGGAAGCATGCCAAATTTGATACATTTCTGTCAATAGAAATGATGATAAAGGCAGTAATACTAATGTTGTCCAAAGAAATTCACAGTAAATCTCTTAAATTAAAATCTGCATACATTAGGGGTGTCGAACACAGCTCCTGGAGGACCACAGCCCTGCACAAAAAATCTGTTGCTCCATCACAAAATATGCCTGCTCCTTCCAGCCCTGCAGTTTAGCTACAAGTGTAATCAACCTGGTGTACATTGTTCAATTGATTGACTTCAATATAATCAGTTTGTAAAGAAATCAGTGATCTCCAAAAGAATTATAATTAAATGAATGATATTAAAAACTTTAGAAATGATATTACAATGATAAAATGTTAAAAAATCATATTTTTATATGTTTTATTGCTGTATTGTTGTCCAATTAAAACAAATAGACAATTTAATTTGTTTCTCTTATCATAATACATAGAATAATAGGCCTACTTCTATAAAGAGACATTTTTAGACTCATATTTGACAAGAGTGTCACCACATCGTCCACCTGAGCCATTGGTGCTTGGACCCCAATAATCTGCTTGCGGCTATATTTCACTGTATATTTCATTTTACCCAAGAAGATATAGGAATATGTAAGTCAGTGGTGTTTGGGTTGAGCCACAGAGTGCCGCCTGCAGGGACGTCATAGCTTCGCAGCATAATGCTGCATTAGCCGCTGCACTCATTTCAGTTCAGTCGGCCGTGAACACGACAGGTGCAGGTGCTTTGTGCTGTGCTTCTAAAATGCGCAAAAACGCTGATTCTTTTTATCCTAAACTAATACTTGGAATCTCGAATGTGATGTGAGAAAGAGAGTGCCACTGTTTCAATCTCGGCAAATGAGCGTTTAAAGCGGCATTATGTCTCCTGCGGCGCATCATATCCAGCGAGCGCTCATCTGTTCTCTTCTTCTCTGCATGTCGACGCGCTCCTCTTCAACATCCGATCTCAAATCCAAAATACCTGGCGTGGAAGACCTGCTGGAGGAGTTCCGTAAGCAGCTACAGCAGGATGAGTCGGACTCGAGGGAGGATGAGGAGGATGGAGACCGCTGTATCAGTGGCTTCAAGGCGGCGGAGGAGCGCATCATCCGCGCCAGCGCGTCCATCGAGCAGGGCGCCGCGTTCTTGTCCGCCCCGCAGAGGGTGTTCAGCTGGAGGGACTGCGCGCACGCCTGCTGCTCTCACCCGCACTGCACAGCCGCCATCATCCAGGAGGACCTCAAGCAGCCCGATGACAGTTTGCGCTGTTATCTGTTCAACTGCACGTACAGGGGCAGGAGTGTGTGCTCGTTTTCCTTTCAGCCGGGATTCAGCACCTATAGTCGGTTGGACAACAGCAGCTCTAGACGCCATGAGCCCAGCCTTGATTCTGCTGCCACTGACAGCCCAAGCACTTCAGCCGGGAGACCTTCATATGGGATCGATGAGGGTGGGTTTCTCCGACTGTAGTAATCACGGGCCGCGTACTGAATGGGTCGGGCTAACAAAGACGAAAATGTTGTTTTGTTGTTGTTTTGTATCGAATGCAAATAATTGATTGATCATGAGCCCAATATTCAATCTACCTGAGGGAAGACGTCTTTCACTATTGTAATTTAATGGTGTGTTAAATAGAGAGGGGGGAAAAATAATAACTTCTAGCGTAGCCTATTCTTAAACTTGGACCTCATTACTGAAGTAAAAATCCCAGCAGCAGAAACAGCCCACACTCTCTAAGTTTACTTTAATTGAAAATATGCATTTTCATTCATTCATAGGCTATGGTTGCCATACAATTTTAGTTTTAAAAATGTAAGTGCCATTGTTTAAAAAATGCTTTATTGACTGACGTTTCATAGACGTTCAGTTGTTATGCTTTCAGATTTCTCCTAAATTACTACTTGTGCACTCACAATTCTGTAGCCTAATGGTACAATTAACTCAGGGCGATGACTTTTTTTTTTTGTGTGACATTAAAATACAATTGTCCCTTATTTTCCATTTCTAAAGTTAAGATTTTTACATCAAAACGAAAGCTCTAGAAAAATACAATGAATTTTACAAGGCTATAGAGAACAGTGCACTAACTAATTAATTAAATTGTTTTAATATAGTCAGTCATGAACTAAAGTGGGCATGAAACTCCAGGGCTGAAAATGAGTCCCACTCCGGCCCTGTTTGTATGTCTTCATGTTACCCAGAGACATAATTATATATTGTACACTACCTTTTTTTGAAAGAAACAAATACATTTAGGCTATTTGGCAAGGATGCATTAATCCCTTAAAGGGTTAGTTCACCCAAAAATGAAAATTCTGTCATTAATTACTCGCCCTTTATGTCGTTCCAAACATGTAAGACCTTTGGGTAACACTTAATTAATAATAATGTTCAGTTGTAAGTCATTTATAAGTGATTAGTTACGACAGATTTGTAAATCGTTAGCACATTACTTAATAATCATTTGTGAACATATAGTCATGTTTTGTAAATGATTAGTTCATAATTAACTAATTACTTGTAAATGACTTACAACTGAACATTATTATAAAGTGTTACCGGCCTTTGTTCATCTTCGGAATGCAAATTAAGATGTTTTTTATGAAATCTGAGAGCTCTCTGACCCTCCATAGACAGCAACGCAACTGCAATGTTCCCAGGTCCAGAAGGACATTGGTGAAGTAGTCCATGTGACATCAGGGGTTCAACCGTAATTTTACGAAGCTACGAGAATACTTTTTATGCACAAAGAAAGCAAAAATAATGACTTTATTCAACAGTGCTTCTCTTCCTCATCCCGTCTGCAGTGGAGAAAGTATCAGGACAGATGTGCAGCACAATGCACATGTGTTTACACACGTAACATGCGGAAGCACGCGTATGCGTCGTGAGACTCTCCACAATGGCGGCGTGCCGCTGCAGACGGGATGAAGAGGAGAAGAATTGTTGAATAAATTAGTTATTTTTGTGTTTCTTTGTGTACAAAAACTATTCTCGTAGCTTCGTAAAATTACGGTTGATCCCCTGATGTCACATGGACTACTTTACCGATGTCCTTGCAGCGTTTCTGGACCTGGGAACATTTTAGTTGTATTGCTGTCTATGCAGGGTCAGAGAGCTGTCGGATTTCATCAAAAATATCTTAAAGGGATAGTTCACCCAAAAATGAAAATGTGATGCTTATCTGCTTACCCCCAGGGCATCCAAGATGTAGGTGACTTTGTTTCTTCAGTAGAACACAAACGAAGATTTTTACCACTCCCGAATGAGTTCGCGCGAGAGAACGTAATCTTTTAGTTTTAAGTCGGTTTGAACAATCCGGATAAGCGCAAGTAAGTACCATTTTGATTAGCCGTCGTACCTACAATGACTGTGCACTGTGTAAACAATGAGTGACGTATACGCGCGAGATCACTTCCGGCGCTTGCGTAAACTACGCCAGAGCGCGTACACACCTCACGCCATGAGATGCCGTGCGCACGCCCAAAGACAGTTGGACACAGTGGTGTATTAGAGGTAAAATATGATATAAATACTGTTCGGTTTCTGGCACAAACCGATCGTTTCGTGTCTTAGGACATCAATGTGTCGTCACGAGCCGCAGGGTTTAATTTGGATTTGTCTGTGCATGTTTTTTTTACTCTCATAGATTTTGTTATCATTGGCATGCATTATACGACTGATAGACTCCAACGGTTGGAGTTAAAAATCTCCGTTTGTGTTCTACTGAAGAAACAAAGTCACCTACATCTTGGATGCCCTGGGGGTAAGCAGATAAACATCACATTTTCATTTTTGGGTGAACTATCCCTTTCAGTGCCCCATTTCTGAACATAAACGTGAAAGTGCACTATCCAAACTTAAATTGTTATAAATCATGAATGCTTTGGAATCTTTTTTTAAAGAAGACAATCTGCAGATTATTGCAGAAGTGGAATAATTTGAAAATATTAAAGTATCAAAAGGTTATAGAAGTTTAAATTTACTGTAAAGAAAATGCACTGTACCCATTTTTATTTTATTTTATATAAAATAAATATTTTGCAAAATATTTTTGAAACCAAATTGCTGTAAAATTAAAGTATTATGGCTAAATAAGTTGTGTTCCAAATTTGAAGTTGATATAAAAAAATTTGATTTTATTTCAATCTCAGGGGCAGTCATGGCCTAATGGTTAGAGAGTCGAACTTGTAACCTAAAGGTTGCAGATTCAAATCTCAAGTCCGGCAGGTAGTGTAGGTGGGGGGAGTGAATGACCAGCGCCCTCTTCCACCCTCAATACCACGACTGAGGTGAGACCCTTGAACAAGGCACTGGACCCCCAACTGCTCCCCGGGTGCCGCAGCATTGGCTCTGGGTGTGTGTTCACGGTGTGTGTGTTTGTTCACTTCTCACTGCTGTGTGTGTGCACTTGGATGGGTGAAATGCAGAGCACAAATTCCAAGTATGGGTCACCATACTTAGCCACACATCCTTTCCTTTCCTTTTATTTATTTAGTTATACCACAAACAGCCACCGGGTGTCATCAAAACTCCATTGAATTTCTTTTGATGCATTTTTCTGTCACAAATGTCTACATTTCTGTCAATATGACTTCTATCACAAAATACACAACATATGCAATCTTGAGATTCAGACCTTTCCGACGAAATGTATTTTGTTAAGATTATAAAAAGTTTTGATTCTAAAAGACCATAATGCATTTTGTAATATGATACTTGACACGCCCACTAAGGGGGAGGAGACCGCTAAAAGATTTTAAAGTACCATTTCCATGGCAACGCAATGTCCGATTTCAAAATGGTTTTCAACAGGATTTTGAGGTTTTAAGCTTTCAAATGGTATATATTTTATGATGATTACTAAAATATGTGATAGAGAAAAAAGACAAGGAAGAAAAGAACGCCAACCGGCCGGTGACACTTAAGGGTTAAATTGATCAAAAGTGACAGTAAAATATACATTCTTAAAGAAATTGTATTAAGTGCTGTCTTTTGAACTTTCTATGCATCATATAGGCTAATGCTGAAAAAGGATTTTAACATTGATTATAATAGGAAATGTTTCTTGAACTCCAGATCAGCATATTAGCATGATTTCTGAAGGATCATGTGACACTGAAGACTGGAGTAATGATGCTGAAAATACAGCTTTGTCATCAATAGAATAAATGACAAAATATGTTCAAACAGAAAAGAGTTATTTGAAATATGAATAATATTTCACAGTATTACTGTTCTTACTGTATATATGCAGGCACAGCTTTAGTGAGCACATTCCTACAGACACCAAACTTTTGAACGGTAGTGTACAATTAAAAGTAGTCAATAGAATCTAAAAGAACAAAGTGGTTTTTTTTTTCAGCTTCATAGTGTTACAAATAGGAAATCATATATGCTCTGTGTCTGAAGTCATTCTCAGTTTCTTTGTAACATCATGATTTTGTCTGTACCTGCATAGCTGTTGATTTTGAATGATATATTCTGTCATTATTTGGAAGTACAACCGCAGAGTTGGTGACTTTAGATGACTTTGAAGCTAGCAGATAGGATTTTTTATTTCATGGAGTCCTTAGGAAAAAACTTGTGTGATAGCTCAGCCAAAAATCAAAAATTTGTCATCATGTACTCACCCTCATGTTGTCCCAAACCTGAATAAAACAGTTGCTGGTAGCCATTGACTTGCATTGTTTTTTTGTTTTTTTTCACGCTAGCAGCTGATTGGTTAACCAACATTCTTTAATCTATATTCTTTTGTGTTCAACAGAAGAAATAAACTCATACAGGTTTGGAACAACTTGAGGGTGAATACATGATGACAGCATTTTATAAAAATTTATTTATTTATTTTTTGGTGAACTACCGTTCAGTTATTCTGGAGCTCAATAAACTCTGCTTCCTTCTCTGCGTCTACTCTTTCTGGGTGCAAGAGTTCACCCTATTGTAAATAAAAACAAAAGCCTTTAGATTTAAAGTTTGTGTTGTCACAAAAACAATGTTGAACTTGACTTTTTGCGTGTTTGGGTTTCACAGGTTTGGATGAGCCGCCTCGTAGTGATGCAGGCCAGGACTTGGTGGTTCAGCTGCCAACAGACTGGGCGGTGCTGGACGGCAGAGACAGCACTGATGATCATGACATCATACATTACCAATGGGCTCTTGTGAAAGGAGACCCCTCCGTTAAAATGAAGGTAAACCTTTCATAGTCATCTCTCAAAGTTTAACACTGTGACATTGCTTTGTTTGAGCAACCTGAACAGCTGGACAAAGCAACATTGGCTCAACCAATAGAAGACGGGGGAGTGTTTGAACAAAGTTTTTGAATTCACTGAGGATTGCTGTACTGTTGGTTTTTGTCATATTTGGTGTTTAATTTCGATCATGACATCTGGTCATTTTGATCTCAGCTCCTTCTTTTTAATCACCTTTTAAGCAATCACAGCATCATGTGGCAAAACTTAAACACTTTCATTAAATAAAACACAGCTGTCTATTGCAAGCATTTGTGCTGACCTGATGGCCATTGCAAGCTATCCAATTAGGCTGTTACATTTATTCGTTTTATGTTTATGTCAGTTACATTGCAGTGCACTTCTGCAGAGACTGCAAAATATAGCCTTGAGTAATATCATGACCAAAATATTCATACCATATGTAGCATTCTTTACCAGATTTGTTCATTGTAGTGAATAATATCTGTGATCCGTCTTCTGTGTGATATTGTAGTCAAGTTTAGACAAGAGAGATAAGAAACTAAAGTAAGTGAGCTATAATCATTTTGCATGTGAGAAAATTATTTGTATATTCCAACAGCTTTGAGTGGACAAGCTGTAATTATTTACAGCAATTACAGAGACTTGGGTCAGAGAGCCATATTACTAAGTAATATGTGAAGTTCACTGGTCTTGATTATGTTGTGTGATTTCTGCAGGTGACTCACCCAGGCCTGCTGAAACTCAGTGGTCTTAGAGAAGGCATTTATACCTTTGAGCTGACCGTCACCGACACGGCGGGACAGAAGAGATCTGACAATGTGTCTGTCAGTGTGCTCGCCCCTGCACCAAACGCAGAAGGTCAGAAATGATTTGTCTCTGAATCTTCCTTGTCTATTTTTAAAACAGTTACATGTAAACATGGATGATTAGTATTTGAAGTGTGTGTGTGTGTGTGTGTGTGTGTGTGTATGTGTGTGTGAGTTGTCTGAAAGACTACTTGGGGTCAAGTATATCTAGGCTGGTTTAGGACCATGCTGACTGGGCATCCATTAGACGTGTTTTTAGAGCTTGTCCATACATTATTATATGTAAAACTGTATTAGTTTATTCATAATTCAGTGTCTTTAACACTGTTCTTTACTCCTGTACTTTGTTTTATATCAAGTGCCTTGAGTTTTTTTGTTTATGTATTGTTAGTAGTATTTTCTGATGTTCTGTCTGTTTTGTGCAATTACTTCCTGGCTGTTTTAATTGCCCTGTAGGGACTAATAAACTGTAAACTTCAACCTGAATCTGTGTGGATGTGACACAGCGCTGTGTGTGTTTCTCTGAAGTGTGTACAGGTCACTGTTCTCGGTATCAGTTCATGTGTGATGATGGCTGCTGTATAGACATTGGTTATGCCTGCGATGGAAAGCAACACTGCCCTGACCGATCAGATGAAGATTTCTGCCAAAATTGTAAGCCTAAGCCACTCTCCTACCATCTTCTCAAAAGCCTTTTCAGAATCTTAATTATTTAAAGATAAATAAAAATGGTTGGGTCTGTTTTATAGTTGATAGTGGTCATAAGTCCAAGCCCCCCTCTAAACATGGACCAGATATACAAACTGAAGCAGAAGCCCAGACGCCCACAGAAATACAGCTCAATGATAGCCCTAAACCTGAACAACATCAACATTATGGCTTCAGTTCGCAAGGTAAGACATAAGATACATCATTCAAAGACACATTTAAAGGTGCTGTATGTAGTATTGACACCGAGTGGTTGAACTAGGTATTGCAGTCCAAATTCAACATATTGGAGCAGGTTTTTTCACCCAGCCCCTCCTCCTCATACTTGACGCACACGCAGGTTGCCAGATTGACGACACCAACATGAATGAGTGCACTTGACGATGAATGAAATGAAATACGCTGTGTTTTCCGCCAACTGGCAACCCGGGGTGCCGAAATACAATTGGGTAAACTGGCAGTGGGCGGGTTTCACAAACCAAAACAAAGACCGACATTCCGGCCCGGAACGCACATTTTCAAAGGAGAATAACTGACTGTAGCATTGTTTTTCAGGTAAACAAGTATGCTAACTTAGCATGTTTCTTAAATATCTGCAAACATATTATGGTATTTTTATGCTTTAGTAGAGTCAAAAACTTACATACAGCACCTTTAAAGGAATGGCTCATCGAAAGTAACATTTATTTTGTCATTATTTGCTCAATCTCATGTTGTTCCTTTAAATGTTTTGAAGAATGTTTATGCAGACACTATTGAAGACACAGCACACTGACTACTCAAAAACATTGCAAATGTAGAGTTCACAAAATTCCTCCACTGCTTCCTTTCTCTCCCGGCAGCTTTTATTAACAAAGCCAGCCTCTCTATGTCTAGACATTTGATACTGTGAGAGCAAATGTCTCTCTCTCTTTGTGCCAGATCCCTGTGCAGCGCCCCCAGTGGTCGGCCCCTGTAAAGGCGTTTTCTCACGCTGGTATTATGATTATAAAACAGGAGATTGCCAGCACTTCCAGTATGGTGGCTGCAAAGGAAACCACAACAACTTCCTCCAGAAGTCTGATTGCATAAATGAGTGCATTCAGAAACCATGTGAGACTTAATTGATTTAGCTGATTTTTGAATGTATAAATGACATTGCAGTTATTCAGTTGAGAATTCTGTGATTCTAACAATTGTTCTGTTGCCATCTTTCAGCAGTAACAAAACATCAGGGCACTGCAACTCCGTTACCCAGTGTGAAAACATACACACGTACGTACAACAATATTAGTTAAGAGTTAAGAATAGAATATTCTGTTTTCTTTATGCCAAGGGTGTCCAATCCTTCTCTTGGAGAGCCAGTGTCCTGCAAAGTTTAGCTCCAACACACTTGCCTGGAAGTTTCTAGTGAGTCTGAAGGCCTTGATTAGCTGGTTCAGGTGCGTTTAATTAGGGCTGGAGCTAAACTCTGCAGGACAGTGGTCCTCCAGGAACAGGTTTGGACACCCCTGCTCTATATGTGTGTGTGTGTATATAAGTGCGCTCTCTGCATGTATATCGTCATTTTAATGCTGCCTTCACGTGCTATCAGAAATTTCCTATTTCCCACTTATGAAGTCGTGATTACGAGCTTGTCACATTGAAGTGCTTTGTTGTCGGAAAGAATAAAATGTAGCATCCCATTGGTTGACAATCATATTAAAAAAATCACCACGCTAGATAGTCAGCTTGCTGACGATTTTGGAATTTCGGTCAAATATATGCGTATTTCACTGTTTATCTAACATACAATATGCTTCAAATGATTGTTCAAATATAGCCTATAAATACCCTACTTTAGCAAAAGTCATGTAGTTGTGAAAAAAACTAATAAAGAAAAGCATTGACAGCCAGTGTTGGGGAGTTACGTAATCAGATTACTAGTAAAGTAACACATTACTTTTTAATTTACAAGAAAATATCTAAGTTACTTTTTCAAATAAGTAACGCCAGTTACCGGTACTTTTTTCTCATTTATTGATTGACAGCTCTCCTGTCCTCATGTTGAGAGAAATTGAGAGTAAGATGTTACTGTAGTTCTAGAATAAATGTGAACGTGCATTAATTCATCTCACTTGCAAAAGAAAACAAAACAACAACAACAAAAAAAACAGATTCAGTATTCCTCAAAATGAATAAAAGCCATGAAATGCAACTTAGAATATGATGCAAATCTGTAATAATTAAATGTTAAATAACACAAATGTTCTTTATGTATTTAATCCCATTTTATTAACCAATGTCTTTGCTGCTGACCTTCGAATTTTCCTTCAGCCTGAGGCTGATTCATTTCACTTTTGGTGTGAAAGGGCTCGGAAATTCTGGTATCAAAATTATAATTAGTAATTAAAAACCAATTAATTAATAATTAGAGTTTCCGAGTGGTAAATATGACTTGAGAGGCCGTTCATGTCTAATTTCTGAATAGGAAACTCGTATTTACAATAATTTTGATAGCACGTGAAGGCAGCATTAGTGCTTGAGCTCTTTAAAGTAGAATTGATTCTAATTGACTGTCGTTCAGCAGCTTAAAAAACTTGTTGTGAAAGTGATTCCAGCAATATTGTTCCTCTGTTACATTACATAAAGTTGTGGTGTGGACACTGCTATTGTTGTCCTTGCAGTGAATGGGCCTTTAGACTCTTTAATGTCCTTGTGTTAAATGTGCTCTTGATCAAATTTAATGCCTGCAGCATGTAATATTAAAAATAACTGTTGTTTTTTGTTGTTGTTGTTTTTTGTGCAGCTCCCATTGCTTCTGTCCATAAGGAAAAACTGCTAAATCCTCTCCCAGAGTCTCGGAATTCACTGCCATCGTCTAAAATACACCGTGTACTGGAAGGACACCCACCCCCTGAATCAGGTCTGCTGAGTAACATACAGCACTAAATAAATGTCATTTGTACTTTTGTGTCTGTGTAGATTTTCTCAAATTCTTCAAGTGTCACTCTGTGTATGTGTGAAGGTGCGATCTTACCCCTGGCTTTGGGTCTGATCATCAGCGTTCTGCTCTTACTGATGGTGGGCTGCAGGCTCTGGCTTGTACGACGCAGACTGAAGAAAGCTTTGCCTCTCACCACAGAAGAGTCTGATTACCTCATCAATGGCATGTATCTGTAGCACAACAGCCACCTGCCAATCAACCCTCCAATCTGCTGCACCCTTTGTGTGACTGTGTGTGTAGAGGACACATAAGTTGGCAAAAGAATCTAATGCACAGCTAGTCAACCCTGCTCTTGGGGCCAGGTGCGCCAGCTGTATATGTAAGTTACAGCCTAGGTTTTTTTTTTTTAATTGCACCATTAAACTTGACGTTACATATAAAATAAATATTTCCTCCAACAAAGAATAATGCATTGAATAAAACGGCTAATTGATTGAATTGCATCAGTAAGCTAATGTTTTACCCAGCAGACTTCAATGCTTAATACATATAATGTTGGCATTTACAAAGGGAGAACATTATGTGCATAAATGAGTTTGAAGCTCTTCAACATGAACCCAGATCTAAACAGTGCACCTCAGTGTGCATCCCTCCATGTTGGAATCCAAATGGAATCAATCATAATAAATAAATCAACTTTTTTTAATAGTATTTATTTATTGCTTCATTTCAAATACAGCTTATGAATGTTATTTACATATAAAAACACCTGTTATGTTTATTTTCATGAGTAAGTATCATATTTCAGTGTCCTTTTTAACATTAGTTACGTGAACTAAAAGAAGTTCAAGTAAAATAATCAACCTTAACAAGCCAGTTCTAAATTCCAACACAATTCTGTTCACAAATTTGAAGGCTACTATTGGATTGAGGGTAAACATTACTTTACAGAGAGCTTACAACCTACTAGCTACATTCTGCCTTAAAAACAAATGGTGCAATTAGATTAAGTACAAAGTTACAAACTAGTTAGTAATTAATAAGCCCCAAGTGTGGACTTTATGTTCCACTTTAAGTAAGAACTTACAAATGGCTGGTACAACCCTATAGAGCTACCATCCTCCAGTGCTAATCAAACATACCTGGACCTAACCAGGGTGCTCAGAATTACTGGAAAATTACAGATGGGGGTGTTGGTGCAGGGTTGGAACTTAACTCTGCAGGAAGGTATTGTAGTTCTCCAAAAGCAGGGTTGACTATTACTGATCTATTGATTGATGGTAAGTGTTCATGCCATTAATATCCTCTTGAGTGCAACAACTATCTCTACTATATAGCATGCCGAATTAAGTGAATCTCAAATCATGCTATCCGGAAAATAACATTTCAAACATGTGAATGGACACTATTTCTGAGAAAATTGCATCTGTAAGTTATTTTGATAGCAGTTATGCAGATGTGTGTGACTGCGACAAAGGTTCCTGTGGTATAAAGATGCAGTTGTATGATTTGATAATATGTCTAAATACTGGCATACTGGCTTAACGCATACTTAAGAGTACATACTTGTTTTTGAAGTGATTGAATTTGAATTCAGCTTTATTTTTTTAATGAAGCATGATATACCACAAGCTTGCCTGATATTTTTTGACCTGGGAATTTGACCCTTTAATGAGAGTATTTTTCTGTTTATTTTGGGAGAATTTCTGAAAAAATGTGCTCAGCCTTAATAGGAAAAACATTTAAACCATTTTGTTTCTGCATCCTTATATGATCATATGCTTGACAGCATGTTCATTATGTTCATTAATAATCTCAGTCCAGGGAATACAGCGTTAGTTAATGTAATTATTGGTGCCATCTTAAAAGTTCTAGATTACAACTTTAGAATTTTTTTTTTTTTTTAATTGGCTCTGACAAAAATTCCTTGATTTAAAAAAAAGATATATATGGCCTTATATCCTAGAATATCTGGTTAGGGCAATGTTTTCAATGTGGTTTAATGGCTTACTGTGATATTAAATACTAGTCTGTATAATCGGTGTAATTGTACAAACAAGTTTTGAAACCTTATAATAGATTGTAAAATAGCAAATTTAATAATCTTGGAGAAATACATTTAAAAAAAAAATTTAAATGTGGACAGCTATATGAGTATCCAGAGTGTTTTATGAATGTCACATGCATACTTACTTGTGCACACTCAAATGTGTATGAAAAGCCAAATTTCTTTAAAAAGTTTTATGGTGTAACAAAAATCAGCTTATCATGGTATGAAACAACAAACGGCACGGCGATGGCAAACACTCTGTCTACTCTGAACGATGAGAAAGCGGTCAGAGCACAGCCACTTCTGCTCAGACTAATTCTTGTCCCCAGCCCCTGAAGAAGGCGGCATTGTCTCTAGCCTTTTTCATATTTCTGGACCACTAGGTGGCGCCATGCCAAATCTGTCCAGGTCTCCTCAGAGTGTGATGGTTCTGACAAGCTTTCTCTCAATTGGTCAAAGAAATAAAGCCTATTGTCCCCTTGTCTACTTTGGTGTGCTTGCCATCAGATAATCTGAAGCATTACATGGGAACGATTTGGGCTGCGTTTCCCGATAACGTTGTCTCTTAGCTCGCTACGAAGACTCTAAAGGTATATCTTAACTAAAGGTATACCTGTTCTAGGCGTGTTCCCCGAACTATACCTTAGGATGTTGCTTAAGGTAAACCTTCTTACGTGCGACGTTAGCAGGTGCTGTCCATGGCGGTGGTGCTGAATAGGTTGATATT